AAGATCGATCAACATCTACGCCTCAAGTGCAGTCCGAACGAAAATACGAAGGGGATACATGAAAAGTATATTTAAGCTACTCTTGCCCTCGTATAACCTTGTATTTCAATGGAGTGCCGAAACTTTTGCATATCTGCGGGGATACGGCGGGCAAGAGTGGGCGCGAGCAGAGTCGTACCGATTCCTCAATGTCGGCTTTGAGATTCAAAAAAACATTAATGATCATGGCTAGGCCACCCAAATCTTTATGTGAGCGGGGAGCAAAAACAGTCGTATAGGAACGCATCACATAGAGACCACTAGCCTCCAGTGCCATATTGTAAACTAGAATGGTACCCGCGGCTTCGCTCGCGGAGGTGTGGGGCAAGTGTAAATTGACAAAAAAGTGGTGGTGGTTGATTATTGCAAAGTTTATTTATGATTGTCAGTTCCTCATTTCTCTCTCGCTTTTCTATTTGATTTTTTTTTCTGCCTTCACTTTTTTTTTCGTTTTGCCCTCCCTTCCTTATTTTTTGACGTCATATTTCCACAACTCGTGACGGCGTGCCAGGCCTGACTGATCCAAGCCATGGCCACGGGAAGGAGGTGTGAGACGGGACCCCTGGGAGCCCGAATGCCTATAGTTACACAACTTGGGTCGTATGAATGCCATGAAGTGGCGAACACCGAGCCAGCCCCCCGCATCCCCAACGCGACCTATCAGGTGTGATGAGTCGAGATCTCGGGTCAAAGATATTATACAGCAGTCTCCTTTCTTTCCTTTAAATGCAATACCATCTTACCATGTAAATGTTGTACAACCTTCTCGTCCGCGTCACTCAGACTTTGTTTGACAAATCGACTCGTTGCCTTGGCGGGCCAAATCCTGTCCCTGTCGGTTTCCCTCCCTTGCTCAAACCCGCCTTCTTCTCGAGCTGTTATTTCTTGGGTCTTCCCCTATTCGACCGTCGCCCTTGCAACGTACGTGCCATATCTCCGTCCTTTCAAAGTCTTCTATCGCACTTGCAATACCTTTTTTCTTTTTGCTTCCCTCTGTCAATGCATTTCACGGTTCTTTGAGCTGGTACCAAAGGACGTAAAGGCAATGGCATTGTTGAAGGTCCGGATGGTTGCAAGAAATAGCCCGGAGAAAAAGGTACCACCTCTGAAAGGCTTTGTAATTCATCAAGGGAAGCTTAATGACCGGCGTTTTGACTCTTAGACAGCAGAGAAGCGTAGATTGGCGATTGTACGTCCAACACACTCCTGCGTTTTCAAAAGAAGTGATTAAATCGGGTATCAATAAAAATAAAGGAGGATGTAGAATAGTTGTAGGTAATATCGTAGACGGTTACCTCTATCCAATGTAAAGCACACAATGAGAGCATACCACGCTCATCGATCCCATGATCATGTACACTGTGTTGTCCTGATTCTTAACAGCTATTCTATTTCCAAAAACACTTAGATCAGCAGGAGCAACAGGAGCAACGGAAGCAGCAAGGATCGTGGAAGGAGTAGGAGCAAGAGATTCTGCAACGATCATGCGCTGTCTGCTCATAAGGCAATCCGGATGAGTTGTAAACAATGGTGACGGAGTTCTCTGCAAGTATTACATATCATAGCAGAGGACTGAGGAGCACCATGCAATGCGATGGCAATAGCTCGCTCATGTTACCTAAATGGGTCGGAATGGTTGGCGCCGGGCTGGAACCATGCGTGGCTGCTACAATCATGCGTAACTGGGACAACCTGTGTCAGCGGGCTTTTCTCCTTCAGCAGGTCGTCGTTGTTGCTTATGTTACCTAAATGGATCATAATAGTAGGCCTTAGGCTGGAAGCATTCTCCCGTTACCAATGCCTCCGCCGCCTGATCGATGACCCATCTTCACTCCCTTCACCCTCCCACTCAACCGTTGTCTGACTTGTAGTCTCGAACTGTTGAACCACGTCAGCAATTGCAGCGTAAGCACCCTCGTCTGAAATAGTATCAAAGCTTGTTTCGCAGTTATCGCTATTATAAATTAGGAGTTGTGCTGCAAAGAGGCGGCAATCCGAGCAATTGTGGTCTGTTTGCCCTAAAATTACTGTTTGTTTTCATTTATAGTAGGGGCAGTAACAGCTTGTCGACCTTTGGAGACCGGTTCCACGTCCACGATACTTGGCACACCTACTGATGGAGGAGGAAGAGGAGGGAAAAGAGAGAAAAGAGGGGAAAAAATAAGAGGAGGAAGAAGAAGAGGAGGAGGAATGAGGAGGAAGAGTAAGGGGTGATGGCATTGAATTTGGCGGTGATAGTGGTGGTACATTTGGTGGAAAGGGAGTGCAGAGTGGAGGAAGTAGAGGGCGCGGTAGCAGTAGATCGACCTTGTTGAGTTGGTCGCCTTGGTCCGTCTGTATCCTGTAAAGGTCGTAGAAGGAGAGACATCGGGGGTGGAAGGGTAGTAAAAGTGACACGGTGAGAGCGAGTGGAAGGCATACTGGCTACTGACAGATAAAAAAAAAAAAAAAAAAAAAAGAGGAAGGAAAGGAAAGGAAAGGAAAGGAAAGGAAAGGAAAGGAAAGGAAAGGAAAGAAAATATGCTTGTCCGTGAAAGTGAAAGAAAAGCCATCGGCTCTACTCTCTCCATTCTCCATTTTCGTATTTTAACATGCTTACTGCTTACCGGCAGATCTTCTTACCGGCATGGCTCTCATTCCGCAGTCGCATTTTAACATGCTTACCGGCAGATCTGCTTACCGGTATGGCTCTGATTGCAACCCCCATCCATCTCTCATTTTTAATTTAATTAACTTTAAACTAAAAAAACGCACACTTGCACACATACACCAAACACACACCACACACACACACATTGAAAAAGAGAAAGAAAGATCATCACATGATTTACGTATATCAGGTGATCGGTGCAGTCGCTTTGTATTAGTAGAAGGACTAGAAAGGTTGCCCGTGGGCGATGCCACGGGTGCCGGAAGTTGCTGTAAGGGGGTCTGGGGTGAGGGGTGTGGGTCTTGGAAGGGTCTTTGAAGAAGACTCGTTTAAAGATAAGGGTGCCACTTGCCTATTACCTTTTTCCTTTTTCAAGTGTAGTGTGACTGTAAATTTTTCACAACTACCTGTGGCCAATGGCATGCTTGGGGAATGTAGAGCTCATACCTGTGGAGTTTCCTGTTGTGCCATAAAGAATAATATCCCTGGTCCCAGCTGGGCCCAGCTGACCTCCCTTATTAGATAGTCATCTTAGTAGCTGAGGAGCCATCCCCCTGGCCTTGTTAGTATTCATTATTCTCTCGGGTCACCCTCACTCGCAGTATATTCAAGATATCCTTGACTGCCCTTTGCTCTACATCACGCCAGAGGATTTCTTGCTTTTTAGTAGGCTTGCGAAAAGGCTCGTTCACAGCATACTGGCGCTTTGCGCTAGATGGCCCAGACGGCCACGCTCCAGCGGTCGCTTCCTTTTGCCGCAGGCGGCAATAGGGATCAGACAGCTACAGCTTTGCCCTTACGAAGTACTGGGGCTTTGCGCAAGAAAGTTTCTCTGGTTCGGGCTACGCCCTCATATCCTCTTGTCCCGTGCCCGTACGCTCGCTGCGCTCACAGGATACTGGCGCGCTTTGCGCAAGATACTCTTAATGGCCTTGCCCGTGACCATCGCTCGCTTCGCTTACAAAGTACGGGTGCTTGGCGCAAAAAAGGTCCTCTGGTTCGGGCTACGCCCTCACATCATCTTCTCCCTTTCGTACCCGTGCGGTCACAACATACTGGCGCTTCGCGCAAGATACTTTCGATTGTCTCGCCAGGGCGCGCGCCCGTGACCATTGCTCGCTGCGCTCACATCCTCTTCAAAGCCCCTTGATTCGGGCTACGCCCTCATATCCTCTTAGCCCGTGCCCGTACGCTCGCTGCGCTCACAGGACACTGGCGCGCTTCGCGCAAGATACTCTTGATGGCCTTGCCCGTGACCATCGCTCGCTTCGCTCACAAAATACTGGCGCTTCGCGCAAGACACAGGCGCTTCGCGCTGGCGCTACGCGCAAGATACTGGTGAGGGCCACGGCCCTCACAACATTTTTAGTTCGGGCTCCGCCCTCACGTGATATACAGAAATCGTTATTTTTTTAAAGAGAAAGAGATCAGCCTGTAAGCCTAGATGTACAACAAACCAGTTAATCTATTATAGCTCTCTAGAATTAAAATTATCGAGTATACCAAACAGCTCATTCTCACTTACCAACAATTAACATTCCAAAGACTCTAACAGATGAGATGTCGATCTTCTGCATAGCCAGATCGTCAATTGCATCTTTCATCTCACAGGCAAGCTTTTCAAGATCCGACTGAACTATAAGGCCTTGGGCTATCTTTTTGGCCTCCACAGTGAAGAGATGGCATTGACGACTTGGCAACGTGGCACAGACAAAAAAGTCTGGGCGTTGACTGCGAAGACCAGGATCCAAACTTTTTCGCCGCTTTGAAGGGGGAAAGGTCATATCCCTATTACGAAAAAGAACAATTAGAAACAAACTCGGACTACATTTTGAACATGTAAAAACCCGACCTGCTGCGTTGCTCTTACCAGAACACGTTAAGGTGCTTGATAGGGCAAATAAAGGTTGAGAAAAAAGGGTCGAACCTCTTCTTGAGCAGCCCAGCTTCATTGTCTCGAGAACTATCCCACAGCGCAGATGTGCCAAGCATACTGGTCAAAAGACTCTTGACATCCAAATCGCCAGGCCATTGCAGTATCCAGTGTCGAGCATCGACATAAGACGTGTTGCCGATATTGAATGCAACATCAAAAACGTCTTGTAATACCTGCGGCTTTACTCGCTGCTGTAGCACGTTTGGTAGTACCGCAGACCAGAGAGCACTTCCGAGCGCAGAAAATAGAGAACTGAGATTGTCACTTTCGCGTATCAGATAGATATGGTTGAGGGCCCTACAGCAATTAAGAAGAAAAGTATAAGTGAGCCTTTGATGCTATAAGAGAATTAATATCCGTATCTCCGATGTTGACTTACAAAGACTCGATGGGGGCATCCAAGTTTGGTAGTACTGCAACAACTGACTGTCGAAAATCCCATAGGAGTTCAGCTACGTTAACATCATCAAGCACCCATGGGGTTCGCCAGGACGATGGGTAATCAAGAACACCCTCCCCTGTATTGTAGATAACACCCCAGGGGACCCTTTGCTTGGTTGGTGTTATGGTAGGCGAGCGCGATGGCTGGTAACTCTCATCGGTCTCTGAAGACTGCGTTTCGTCCTGTTGTCCTGTGTCCTCTTCCCGATCTCTGTCCATCTCTTCTTCTTCAACTTCTGCCGCCGTCAGATCGGTGTATCTATGCTCTTCTTCTGCAACGGGCGCTATTCCAGAAACAAGGAAAGGGTCTTGAGAGTCAAAGAGCTCAGCTGCTAGTAAATTGCACATGTATAAAAAGGCCTGTTACTATCTCCGTGTTACAATAACGCTGCTTTTAAGGCTACGTCACACTTCTTACCGTAAGCCTTCTTCGTCTTCTTGCTAAAATAGCCGAATGCACTATCCAATTGATCAATGGCGTTCCCCTCAAGACTGATCCGGTGCTTTCGCTCGTTCCTCTTTTGAGTCTCCTTCAACTCATTGTCCTCGATTTGCGCCCAAAAGGATTCAGTCGCAGCCCTATCCCGCCATTCACGTTGTAGTCGCTTGTACTGCTGCTTCAGGTTTTGGTGTTGGCTGTTTTCTACTATGGGTAAAATGACGTTAGCCCATCGTCTGTGCAAGGTTGGCTTATCGGTGCTAAGTGGCGAACAGAATTCGAAATATTTGGAGTGGGTGATATTGGTCGGATCAGTTAGACCGTCAAAATACTGCCATTCCTTTATGCTGCCGAACTCTTGCTGCCATCTTTTCGTTGGATGCTGTTTTTTGGATGTGTTGTGACCGGTCATCATAACACTTAAAGCGATTGAGAGGAAGAACAGCGTGAGTATAAGATAGTTGAATGGACTACAGGACAGGGGTGTCGAGTATGCCAATATGATATCTCAGTAAGGAAGACAGGAATGGCAAAGACTACTCGATCAAACGAATCTTAATGGCAATGGGTATTCTGGCGACTGCTTGTGAGCTATGATCTATCGAAGTAACCAGATTCGATGACTAGGCAAAATGACTTGATCAGCAATGGCTTGTAATAGAGAGCATATAGCTTAGAGTGTAAAGATGGTTAGATGCCCTAGTCCCATCCCACGCCACTGCTGGAACGCGAAATGGGCAGTCATCTTGTGTGAGCATGCACGACCATCACCAGCTCCTCTTCTACAGTTTGAAGGGTTCGAAGAAGCGTTGGCTGGAAGACGGAGGCTGCCACCTCTAGTTCTTCCCGACCGTCGTGCCAGGTTCTCCATCAGTGCGCAAGTGACTCTTGACGAGTCAGAATGGTTAGATGCACCGGTTCCATCTCGCGCCACTGCTGGAACGCGAAATGAGCAGTCATCTTGTGTGAGCATGCACGACCATCACCAGCTCCTCTTCTACAGTTTGAAGGGTTCGAAGAAGCGTTGGCTGGAAGACGGAGGCTGCCACCTCTAGTTCTTCCCGACCGTCGTGCCAGGCTCTCCATTCAAACGCGAATTTAGTGAAGGTGATTCACGAATTCATACCTTACAGCAATCCGTCTAGATAGAGAAGAGGGGCGGATGAAAAAAAAAAATACAAAGAGAACAGAGGAATTGAGCGAAAGGGTGTGTGACAAAGAAGAGAAGGTAGTGGTCAATAAAGTGCAGTAGTAAATAAAAGAGAGAAAGAGAACAAACAAGGGAAGGGTAATAGAGAGAGTAAGAGGATAACAAAAGGAGGGAGAGAATGGTACGGAAGGGAAAAAAGAAGCACGACAATGAGCGGTAGTGAAGAAAAGAGTGTTGGAGTATAGATTAGATGCAAACTGGCGATGAAAAAAGGGCGCGGGAGTGAGCCTGATGGTTATATGAGTGAAGATGATTGCTATAGAAGTGATGAAAAGGGCGTAGGAGAGGTAAGAGAAGTTGAGGAGTGGTGGGCAGAGAGAAAAAGTAAGGGGCGCGACAATTACGTCACCCAAAAATCAGATATTAGATTCAGGATCACATGCATTAGAAAATACTCATGGCTCATATCACTTAAGGGGTGGTCTGGCAAAAGCACGCGTGGAGGGCCCAGAGAACCCTGGAAAAGCAAGTGAAGTATCTAGCCGTGATCAACATCATCCGGGGCACCGTCAGGAATCAAGTTATCGATGACGCCATCGGCATCTCTCATGACCATGCACACATGCACCACCATCCACCATGACCATGGAAGAGTAGGTGTAGGCAGATCACCTAGAAAACCATACTATCTACACGCATATAACAAAGGGAGGCTCCAAAAAAGGAAGGTAAGCCCTTATTTTCCCTCGACCAATCAGAAAATTCGAAGAAAGGGGACATGTTTCAGACATGTTTCAGATGCTTCTCTCCTAGGGGAATCCTATCAAAGAATGGTCCGATCCGGTTCCCTCAAGCATGATTAGAAAGCCCATGGAAAGTTCTCACAGCTTGTCAAATTACAGAATTTTAGCACAAGAACTGAGAGGAAGGACGAATTTCGAAGGCGGGCAAAAAAGATTTTTTGGAGAAAAGTTTAGGAAAACAGGAATAACTGGCTTGTGGCAGCCAAGCGTTCATAGCGACGTTGCTTTTTGATCCTTCGATGTCGGCTCTTTCTCTAATCCTTGCAGAGAATTCTAGCACCCCAGCGTTGAGTGAAAGTTTGACACTTTTAAGGGGTAATGAATGTCCATAGATTGTTACTGTTTCACGGGGGGAGGGTTCGATGAGTTATAGGAACGCTGTCAGTTCCACAATCGGTTCTATAAAACTGGACTCTATGAGGTGCAGATGCTATCCGTTAGTCCAGTGTCTAATAGTGAAGAAGACAAGGAACAACGAACAGCTTCTACCCCACATAACTACTACTCTAGTAGGACGATCGGCTATACTACTTGGACGTCATCACCTCGGAGAAGGGCCACCAAATTTGTAACATTACGTGTAGATCGTTTTAAGGTTTCGTCTCAGCGTCCATAGTGGTCAGTGCCTGTGTTTGATATTGTTGCTCAGGGGAGAGGGTCGAGGCCAGAGTTGTAGGACCGCTGTAAAGTCCTCAGTTGGTACGGGGGAAAAAAAGGGAGTTGCTAATCGTGTCCTAACAAATCTCACGAAACTGCAGTGTGCCAGCGAAACTCTTGTCAATACAGTTCTCGTCCAAGAAATGATGTGTAAAAGGACCTTCTATTCATAATATCAAGGAGCGGGTTTGTTACCTGCAGTGCGCCAGCAAAACTCTTATCAATACAGCTCTCGTCCAAGAAGTGATGTGTAAAAGGACAAAGAGCAAGCAAGAGGGCTCGGCGCACTAATAATACTATGCTACTAAAGAATATGACTGCTAACCTAAGGCATCGCCGCCACTGCCTAGCCACCACATCTTCTTGCAACAATGGTTGTAAACGGAGATGGATTTAATAAAAATTTATGCTTGGGTATTGGAATATTTGCAAGTTATGGGTACAATGAATCAGTGAGAAAGAGATGTCGGTCCACCGCGACCACACACCAGTATTTATAAGTGATTTTATTGTTGCTATGGAGATACATGGGTGAGTAGAGGCGTCTATGGCTGACTCGCGGTGGAGTGGCGGATCGTGGGAGATCCTAATCTTCCACGTACCCTAGGGCTTGTAGTATTAATATTAGTTCCGGCTTTTCATTGGTGCCAGGCAACACATGGGTAGGCTGGTGCCAGGAACGCCGTCGCAATCGTCGTCATTGCTTTCATCGTTCATTTTGCACCATATTCAAGGATCACCTGACGAGAGTAGCTAGACAAGAGCCCTCAGGGACCGGCACCCATTTACATTCTGGTGCCTGGAAAATAAACAGATCTCTCTCTGTAATCTTCTTTTATTTAATGATTTGCGAAAAGTCCACAGAGAAAAAAATACCCGTAATGAAAAGAAAAAGGAATAAAGTCTGCACAAATAACAGATATATTCAGACCCTTAATAAATAAAATGATATGAAAGAGAAAAAAAAAACCTTTACAGTTTGTGGCCAAAGAACTCCTTCTGTAATAGCAACAGAAGAAGGGTGATAGACAAGAGCAGGAGGCAGAAACGGATGGTGTTTATTGTACAGGGGAGCCAGGGTATTTATGTGTGCTAGGCTATGGGCTCCAGGATGGTGGTGATGTGGTGAGGTGGTGATGTGGTTAGATGGGGATGTAATTAGGTGTTAATGTGGTTAGATGAGACAGTGGTTAGATGACGCTAATGATCTAGGGTCACAACAGATTATGATACTGTGACACCTTCAGCTTGGGGAGAACCTTGGGCACACCATGGTCAAAGAGCTCAATGTGGGTCGCACCCTCTATCAGGTACAGCTCCTTGGGCTCCTTGCACTTCTTGTACGCATCTTCGCTGAAGTGCAGAGTGTCAGCCTTGGATCCCGCAATCAGCAGCACGGGGCGGGGTGCGATCCAGTCCAGGTACGCAAATGCGTCAAAGTTGGCCAGCTGGTCGTAGCTCCACACCGCAGTCCGGTTGATCGACGTTTCATACCCGCCGCGCGAGGTCAAATAGTAATCGGAAGCCTCCGACATCAGATTTGTCGTGTCCTTGGTGATCTCTTCCTTCGTGGGCACAATGGGCAGATACTGGACCTCACCACCTCGGGCATAGTCGATGCGCGCCTGTCCAGCCTGGACAAGAATGCCCTCCAAGGTGGGCTTGGGGATTTCGCGGCTAAAGGCGCCGAGGTCAACACTGCTCACGGATGCAACGGCCTTGATGCGCATGTCCATGGATGCAGCGCCAAGAGCGTATCCGCCCCCAAACGCACAAGCCGAGGACACCAATGCGGGCAGGGTCAACATGGTCCAGAGTGGACAAGTAGGTAACAGCGGACTTGATGTCTTCAAGCATGCCGTAGCCGTCTTCCAGCTGGCGGGGCTCGCCCTCACTGCTGCCCTGGTGGCGGCGGTCAAAGGCCAGGGTGATGTATCCGAGTTCGTCGGAGAGCTTTTCGGCGTAGACGCCGGTGGTCTGCTCCTTGACACCGCCAAAGGGGTGCACGGCGACGATTGCAGGCAGCTTGGATTTGGAGGCGCCGTCGGGGACATAGAGGTGGCCGGCGAGTTTGAGGTTGCCGCTGAGGAAGGTAACGTCTTTGCGAGTCATCGTGATGTGTTTTTGTGTGTGTAGGTGTGTGTATACAAGTTGTGAGGCTTGAAAATGTGGTTAATTCGATACGTTATTTCTTAAGGGGATGGCGAGCTAGATAAGTGTTTGGCGCTAATTGACATGATTGTGTAAAGAAACTCCAAACCAGCTCTTTGACTTCTACTACGATCCTCAGTTCTATTTTGCTTTGACGATTTCACTCTTTCTTCTTCTTTGTCGTACTCAGTTGGAGCTACGACAGTTGTGTCGTGGACGCTCCCCCTTTTGGATCGTCCACACCGAGCAAACGATAGTTAAGGGTATCGTTCAACCGATATGCGTGGACCCCTTTTTGGACATACTCTATTTTCATTTTTCCTTCCCGCCTTTTTCCTTTTGTTATTATCACCCGACTCCCCTCGGTCTCTCTTTTGCAACACACACCACCAATGCCTTCAACTGCAGGATGCTATCGTTGATCAGCAGGGTCGACTTCCTTTCTTTTCTCTTTAGCTATTGTAACCACTTTCGTCCGCTTCTGCCACTATTGACGAAGCATTATTCACTGACTACGCCTTCACTGCGCCTCTATCTCCAACTGTAAACTACAGTAGGTCAAAAAATCCTCCGAGCACTTATTTCTCGAAACATCTCTATGCTTCTAGACCATGGTCTCTAATGGTCATAGAGGCGCACGGGATAGATGAGAGACCAGTCAAACAAGTAGTGTGTAGAATGTTCGAAATTGTGCGAGCGGTGTGGTGCGTGTGGTGTGTGGTGTGTATGGTATGTAGTTTGTTACCCAATTACCCACGTGGTTAGGTGATCTGGGCACAACTTAATTTAAGCCCCACACTTTGAATACAACTACAGTAGCTTTTAACCCGATCACATGTATTTAGTTCAAAATGTCACGCTTAATTTAGGACCTGGCTAGTGCACAAAGCTAAAAAAATTTGTTTCACCGTAGCTTCTCCTCACACGCACCATATCTATCTGGCATAAATACACCGCCACCTGAGGAGTGCTTCAATCACGACCTAATCTAATCCTGGAACCGGGCCTCGACCCAATCGAACTGCTCTAGACTCTCTTTGACCACGCGTCGTGCCCACTACTTGCTCCAAAGATTTCTGTAAAAGAGGAAAAGACCGTTTACTGTAGGGACGGAAAGCCGTCCCTGGATAACCTGCCAAGAGAAGATTTCGTCACAGCCATTCATAACAAAAATGCCCGTCCTTCCCATCATTTGGCCTCGGCCACTCCGTCATGTTCATGTCTCAGAAGGCTGTGCACTAGACACCAATGATAAAAGTATGTGTCTAGTGCACAGCCTTCTGAGACAAAAATGCAATTGACTATCACATTGCTTCACATGAACATGACGGAGTGGCCGAGGCCAAATGATGGGAAGGACGGGCATTTTTGTTATGAATGGCTGTGACGAAATCTTCTCTTGGACATGACTGGATGGGCTATGTCGGGGATTGGCTTGGTCTCGGACGGGTCATGCAGTCCTAAGACCGTGTGTTCGATTTGCTCTTTTCTATGGGGGTTGGGATACATCCCAACGGTGCATTGTGGAGGAGATTACGTTCATATGACCATGTTTCTTCGAAGCTTATGATCTGCTTCATCTTTATAGGAAGCTTCCTTGTGCTTGTTCGCTCTATATAACGCACTCATTATCACCCTTTCCTTCTCATCTATTTTTTCCACTTCTCTCAAAACCATTTTCCATTCAAAAAGATATTTCACCATGAGCGAATTCAAGACTGACGTGAAGACCTACGAGTTTAACCACACTATGATCCGTGCCAAGGATCCAAAGGTCTCGCTCGAGTTCTACCAGCACATCCTCGATATGAAGCTTATATATAGTGAGGATTATGAGACAGAAAAGTTCACGCACTATTTCCTAGCATATGTGAATGCTCAAGATCTGGCCACTTTGGACACAAAGTCAAAGGACGAGCGCCGTGCTTACACCTTCAAGCGTCCTGGTGTTCTCGAGCTGACTCACAACTGGGGCACTGAGAACGATGCCGATTTTAGCTACGCCAACGGCAACAAGGAGCCTGGACGTGGATTTGGACATATCGCCATCCATGTCGACAACATCGACGAGGCCTGCAAGCGGCTCGAGAGTTTTGGCGACAAGGTGCAGTGGCCCAAGCGACTCGGACAGGGCAACATGAAGGACGTCGCCATTATCGCCGATCCAGATGGTTACTGGATCGGGGTCTGTGACTACTAAAAATAAAAGAGCTCTCTCGCAACAAAATACAAAGCCAAAGTCTCAAACTCGTAAATGTCTATTCATATAAGGAAATGGCCTTATTTCCACAATCTATTGCTTAATTCCACAAAAAAATCGAGCCAATGAGTGAACGCCAACCGTCCTGCCGCGCTGCAAGCGACGTCATCAACTTGAGATTCGTCCCAAAAAGGAAGGAATGAGGCAAAAAATTGAGAGGGCACTACCCCTTCTGATACCCCTTCATTTCTTCCAGACCTTCTATGATGAAGATACTCTATGGGAATGAAATTTCCAGTACTCGGAATCTGAAGGACTGGGTCGAGACAAGCGCCTCTGATGAATCCTGTTTGAGGATCCCCCCTGTTTGTCTTTTGTACAGTAATTTTTATTTTTTTAAGGCATGTTGGTTTTCAATATCAGCGACACGCGTTGAATAACGCGTTGTTACATTTTTTTTTATTTTTTCATTGAAGGCTAGCTTATTACGCTATTCAAACAAAACTGCGTTGTAATACATCCTCTCTACGACATCCTGATCGGGGAGCCTCCAAATCAGTCATCTGCAGCTTCAAGAGGTGTTGGAGGAAGAGCCCTTTGCATTACTAAATAGAGCCAATCTTGAGATATTCACACAGTAAACACTTACAAGAAGGGGCAAGATAATTTCTTGAGACGAAGGAAGGATCTTTGTTGAAGGCCCTCGAACATGGTCTTTTATAACCGTGTTCTGGGTGACTGTTTAGCCTATCAAATTTATCTAATTGAATACCCCGTCTATTTGATCGTCTGACCAGAGGCGACTATACAACAAATCTATTAATTGCTGGGGGCTTTGCTGGAGTGGCACCGAGGGTTTCCGCCGCCGATGACGCTGCTGACGATGCAGGCGGAACCATCAAAGATGTTGGAGACAAGGTTGTCGCCCTGGCCGAAGACGCCGTTAGCGCCGTTATCGCCAAAGAGGCCTGGAGCAGCAGTGACGAGGGACACAAGGGCAGCAATAATGCAAATGTAAGATCAGTGTAAGATAGGTTCATTTTGTAGTTTGGCTGAAAATGTGGAGACGTGTGCCAATTGTGCTGGTGATGTTGATGCAGTGTATGTTGAATTTTCCTTCTATGGGTCGAGATGTGTATTTATATGAGAGGACGTGCAGTAAAAGAAAGGTTGGTGGTTGAAAAGCAGATCTGGGCAGAAGGAGTCGGGTGAGACATATGGTTCAGCACCTCCCTCAATCCTACTCGTAATAAGTTGGACTGCTGGCTGACAAGAAAGACGAGGTTCCTGTTGAACATTGGCAAGAAGGCATAGAAAGCCATCCAAGCGTTGTTCCTCAAGGGGTTGAAGGTGAACAAAGGGTTTCCAAAAAGTAAGGGCAGTGAAAACAAAGGGCAGGGAGAAGAGAGGGGTCAAACAGAAGGGAATAAAGGGGACGATGAAAAAAGAATAAAGGAGAGGGATCAAGAAAGGAAAGTGGACACAGAAAAAGGAATAAAGGGGAGGGATGATGGAACGAAAGGGAAAGCGGGAAAGGAGGGGATGCCGGTTTGCTGTATCCCGAGCCCCACCATCTCTCCCGGCTTCAAGGACCCGAACTTTATCACGCTTGCAGAAGACATTGAGAGCATGTATCGGTCCATTATTCACAGGAATCAAGGGGGTTCGCAGGACGCAAAGGACATCGATTCCGAAGTCAAGGCCCTAGCAGGAGAGCGCGTCAAGCTCGAATTCCTTGCAAGACTGCTCTTCCTGCAACTTCTCCTCCAGAACAAACCTGATTTGGAGCCACAGCAGTTTTTTCGTGAGCAGACAACCGGAGGTGCAGCAACTATTGCCAGGCTTGTCAGCAAGTTGCAGGTGTACGACAACCGCGCGATTCGTGACATGCTCCGTGAGACCCAGATCAATCTCCACACACTTCTTGTCCCCAGACGACTTGGGCTAGTGATTGCTCTGGATGAGGCTCAAGTTGCGGCTACTGGAATCTTGTCCGAAAAGCTCATCTCGCCATCCGCTTTGCTCAAGAACAGAAATGACCTCTTCGACAGCAAAGAACCATGTGATGGTATTAATTTGGTCCACAGTAGTCCTGGCTATAGATCAAAGGCAACTATGCAAATAAAATCACAATATGTCTTATTCTCTATCTGCTTCCTACTTTCCTGTTGTTCCATTAAAAAAGAGTCTAAAACGGTGGCAACAACATACAAAACCACGACCTGCCTCTTCTCTTTGTTGCTCTTCCCTTCATTCTCCGCTCCAGCTCCATAAACCTCCAGCATCATATAAGAACTTTGTCATCACTCTCTATTTACTTTTGCCTCGCGACCAACACACGTCTTTCAAGAAGTCCATTCATTATGGAGAAGATTCCAGCTGGACGGCGCTCTTCTGGAAAGAAGGCACCATCTCCTTCCGAAATACCCCTCATAAAATCGTGGGTGTGCTCGTTCCAAGGTTGCGGACAAAGATACACGGCCCAGTCATCACTCCGTGTGCATCACAACAAAGTCCACGCCCCAAAGACCCGCCCATGTACACACACAACCAAGAACGGAGACAAGTGCTCTGAAAGGTTTCACACACTGGCGCTTCTTGATGCTCACCTCAGAGTCGCTCATTCTCACTTTGTCTGCAAGCACAAAAGCGACTCAGATAAAGTTTGTGGACACACATGCGACAGCAAGGAAGAGCACGACGACCATTTGGATGACGTGCATCGGACTTTTGCGTGCGGAAAGGGCGACTGCAAGGCAAAGTACATGACAAGACGTGTTTGTCATCAACACCAACGTAGCTGCAAAGGACAAGGCTCAGAGACTGTTGAGACAAAGCTTCCTGCATGTATCAACAAGGCTTCCAACGGTAATTACTACTATATTGCTCTGCAGAAATGTTGCGTGCTCAAATCTAACTTTCTTTTCTGTTTGTTCTTCTAGTCTGGTGCATCACGGTGATTGCTGGTGTGCAAACTCATCTGGAGAACGTTGTGTTCCTACCTAAAGCATATTTGGACAACGACGGATTCATTAAGGTACTTTATCATACATTTTAAATTTTGTTGGCTTTCAAGTAGACAAGCTTACCTCCTTGCAAATCCTTGGCATAGATCGACGGACTAAAAGTTTCTCCTGTCTTGTGGGCGGATACCAAGACCGAACTTACCTATGGTCAAAAACGCGACTACTTGAGGATTGCCGAGAGCGGATACCGTATGGCCGGGAACATACAGAAAGATCAAGGGTGTTCGATCTGTGGAGACGTCATTACTTGGAGAACTGTCGGCACTTCGCTCAGAAAACCTGGTCTTCCTGTTTTTAATCGCCACACTGTCTGCAATACATGTTTTTCCCGCCAAAGGGGAAGGGTATGCGTCGTTTTAGACGCTGAACGCAGTTTTTTCTCCCCTGTATAGGCACTAATAATTGTTTTTTTTTTTTTTTTTTTTTTTTTGTCTCATCAGATTGCAGCAGATATCAAAGAAACATATGGAGTGGCGGATAGGAATGTTTCTGAACTTGCGAAACTTCCGGAGCTGCAGGACCTTATCAATGAACTTCTTAGTGACAGATGTTGCGCAAGCTGCGATACAAAGCTTACGAGGGACAACGCAGTCTTCAGAGTTCGCCGCTCGATTCGAGACTCTCGAGATAATCCTCTAGATCTTACAGGACGTTGCAAGACGTGCAAATGTGTTGCAGATGTCGATTTTTCGAGGCAAGTACGATCTTGGGCCTATCTAAAGCGTGCAAAACGACCCGGGGATTATGAGAGCTTGGAAAAAGCCATGATGGCTTATGTCACGACCCTTGCTCGAGGATTCTGTGTCGGGTCCCCTGCCTTCGACCCTGAGGAGTTTGTTGTGCTCCGTGATGAGGCCGCGGTATCCTATTGCAGCTGTTTTTATTGCAGGAATCCGACATGTAATGAGATTGGTGCGGATGCTCGAAAGCGATCTTCGATTGACCGGACACAGTTCAAGGATGGCGTTGCTCTCAATTACAGCCATCCTGACTAAATATTAGTGGTGGCATGTCTACGATGCAATTGGTAAGTTTATTGTCTTTCATCCTTCCTGTCTTAATATCAGATATTTCTTTCATAAAGTTTCTAACCTCATTTGATAATAGCTTATTCAGTGACCGAACCATCCAGGAGCGGCGAGACTTTCTTCATGATCTGAAGACAGAGATGCCGAAAGGGACAAAATGGGCAGATGAAGTGATCGAGAGCATCGAGGAAACTGTGATAAACGGTGGTTTCGATAAAGCGAGGGTGGAGCAGTGGCCCGAAGACAAGGTCCTACAGAGGAGGTACCAGAAGCTTGAGTACGGCCGGCAGGAACGCGGAAAAGCTGATCGATTGGCCTCCTGGTCGTATGAAAAGTATCGCTATTATTTGCACTTATGCAAAGGACGATCACTCGTCACCGGGATGAAAGTGACCCTGCCAAGAAAACTGGATATTGATCGCAACATCGACACTGACAAGTACGATTTCGATACCATCCTACTCATGGAGAATGAGATCAACGTGGCGAAGAAGAGTATGTCCGAGTTCAAGGACTCATCTGCATTCAGACTCTCCAAAGAGTCATTCAAGCCAAAGTGGGCGGTCAAGATCTTACGCGCTGATCTATGGAAATTGATCGAGGACACCAACGCAATGAAGGATGGGTAAGTTATAGTGTAATATGGAAACAATCGACAGACTTTCAAAAATGGTATCGCTAACCATTTTTTTTCGAGAATTAGATGAGAACAACAACTGCATGGTATGCGATCAGAACCCCGTCCCAGCTTGGAGGTCGAAGCCGAGTCGCCTCTTCTACCGCCGTTTGTGTTACTCGAGGAGCATACCCTCCAAGGTTCTGCTCTTCCACGACAAACCATCAGCCCACTATCATCGTCTATCATAACCAGCCTGCCATCAAACGTCCCATCCAAGATATCTGTTACATCTCGTCACAGCCAAAAATCGATCAAGGATTTTTTTCCATTGACCCCTGCTCATGGAAACTCCGCCATGCGTGCACTGCCCTTGACAGCAGAAATCAATACCCATGGTCGTCACCCACTGGTGGACATCAGCAACGACGGCAAGGACGTGGCGCAAAAAAACCCTTTGAACTCAAAGCCCTCCCTCAAGCGGCCCAAGCTCCACAAATAATCTCCATTGTCACCACTCTTCCTTGACTTTTTTTTTCTTTGTTATAGCTTACTCGACTCTGTATTACACAAATTTACTAGCTAGGTCTTGAAAACGAAAATAAACCTCAGTAAACGTAGAAGGTCTTGGACGTTACAATATCAATTGGCGTGAGACGGCATTACACTAATGTAAGGGGACTATAAATTATAGTATCAATCTGTCTGCATGCACGCAAAAGAGAAAGATTATGACTCACTCACTTCCACTGCATTCTTCTCCCACAGCTTAAATCGCTGTGTCAACAAAAGATATTGATCAGGTTCCCTTTACAATTCGAAGTATTCGTTTTGTGGCCGAGGAACACAACAGCACCTGAGCATCGATGTCCACAGTGCTTTCACTTGTTCGTGTTGCTTTCTTCTGGACCACACTGCAGAGACTGAAAATGAATACAGTCTTTTCCCCGACTAGAGAGAAGGGGAGGGTCTTTATTAAAAAAAAAGAACCAAATCCAATCCAAGTTCCGTCGTGGCTTTCTCACGCCTTTATCCGCGACGCTGAGCAACATGCAGGCAACCCTAGTGATACTTGGTACAGCACTCTCTTTGCAGGATGCCGATCATGTGTACTCGGCTGTTGGCAAACTCACCAACTTTACAAGAATAACGGACTTCCCACAATTCGACGAGGAGGATGTGAGCAAGATGCTCTCGGAGCTCGTCGACATGTCAGACTATGAAATCCCGCCTGCCAAGCGGCGCAGGCTATCAGGGCGAGCCCGGTTTTCCATTGGTATCATCAACCGCCTCATCGCAACCGGCTCTATCCAGAACTCCAAGCAAGTAACTCTGGAGAACGCCATTAATTACGCAATTGCGCATGTGATGAGTGGACTCCGGAGTGGGGTACGCACTATTCTCGAGAGCGACAAAACAGGCGAGGCAGCCCGGCTTCTATGTCGAATGGTCTTGGCCTATCACCTCCAAGATGCCAGAATATCGTTCTCGAGCCACCAGCAGGCCGACTTTGTGGACAAAGCCTTGTGTAGACTGCGACCACATCCTGATGGCATTCATTTGGTGATGGACGAGCTAATGGTGGTTGAGGCGGTGGAGGAGGAGCTAAAGGCTTTAGACAAGGATCCCGAGTTCTCGGAGTATCTGAATCAATTCTACCAGATTGTCACCAACTTTGGCGTGGCTTCAACCTCAAAGGGGGATGCACTGGAACCACTTGTCCGCCGATCACTTCAGCGCTTCAATGGTCTACGTCTCGTGGATCGTCCTTTCCTCCAAGGCATCGCCTTGCCCAAGTGGTGCGACAATCTCAGGCTTCAAATCGACGGGATCAACACGGCCAATGGATTTGGATATACCGACAGTGGCGTTGCCTCCGATCTTGCCTTTCTCACCGACCGTCCTCCGAACAAGATGCTTATTGCCAAGTATGGCACACGTCCGGATGGAGCTTGGTTTTTCTCTGACAAACAGTACGCCGGCTCTCTTGCAATCAAGTTCTACAGCAGCTCTGTGCCCCGGAAGACGCATAAGGATAATGAGACCTCAAGCGACATTCGAAGTTGCTTCTTACAAAAGGACGGTACTACCTTGAACTCAACCTTGGCAAACATTCGACGCGACTTTGTAGCTTCGGGTACTCCTTCCGACCTCAAGGGTATCCTCCGCATCCACCTCGAGTTCCCTGACGTCCAGTACGGTATGCCAGCTACCCATGTCTTGACAGACCCTATGACCGGCGACCAGGATGTGATGGTGTATATCAATCTTTCGAACATGGACGATTTTTTCTTTGAGGGCATCTCAGAGCACAAGGACGATATGGTCCGATTGAAAAAGGTCATTGGACTTGTCTGCAAGAAATAAACACCTTTTGACTTGCAATCTTACCTTCACTCCTTTTCATATCTTATGTGATGCTTCTTTATTCGTATCGGCAGCAGAACGTGCGATGTTAGCTTTTGATACTTTATTTTTTCAGCTATTCACTCTCGTGTTCCTCACGATTAATCATAGCTGATTTAACATCGTGAGACAGCGAAGGCAAGCGCGGAAAAACATATTCAACGGCTCGTCAACAACATGCGCAATCAATACACCCGGACTCAGGAGGAGGTTAAAACAACTCTACGGCTAAATCTGCACTCATTCAGCAACATGACACTTATGTCCGATATCAATTATAATGAGCAGTTGGCGGTAAAAGACATGCAGGAACAAATGAAGTCCTACTGCAAGGTGGCGCACAAACGGATTGTGGATGTATTACTTTTACAAACCATTGAGCGCCATTTGGTCAAGAGTGTCCATCTTTATTTTGACATGCTGATCGCCGTGGACGACAACACCATCAGCCGTCTTATCGAGTCACCAGCAAAGCAGGCGCGACGCAAAGAATTGAATCACAAGGTGGATGTATTGAGAAGAAGCCTACTGGAGCTTTAGTCTACAATCAGGCAAGTGTAATGTAAATGATCGACTTTATGACAGGCCTCTAGTTATACATTTCTACTTTGCCCACAACGATTCCATGCTTATAGCCGGTCTTTTGTGCGGTCACTTATCAAACATTACTCGTTTGTCTTTCTTGGCTTTAATTCCTCTTGTCTTACCATCCAATTTTGATAGTCGGAATGTCGTGCTTATAACGAAAAAGAATGACTTTTTCATTAATATGTGCTCTGTACATATATATATATCCATGTCATACGTTTGTACTGTACATCGTTTCATTCTTATGGTCATACGCCATGACAACCAGTTAATTTTAGAATACACTTTCATCATTATATTCCGCAGCAAGAAGTAAGCTTTCATCCGCTGCTCCGCTTGGTCAAATGACCGTCACCTTTTCTTTTGGATTGGGAATTGCATTCCCACATCCTAAAAAGGAAATGGGTGAAAGTTTATTTGAGGCAGAGGTGGGAAAAAATTTCCCTTAGGTTTTAATAACTGGCTTGTGGCAGCCAAGCGTTCATAGCGACGTTGCTTTTTGATCCTTCGATGTCGGCTCTTCCTATCATACTGAAGCAGAATTCAGTAAGCGTTGGATTGTTCACCCACTAACAGGGAACAAGACCTGGGGTTTAGACCGTCGTGAGACAGGTTAGTTTTACCCTACTGATGAAATGTTGTTGCAATAGTAATTGAACTTAGTACGAGAGGAACCGTTCATTCGGATAATTGGTATTTGGGCCTGCCTGAGCAGGCAATGGCCCGAAGCTATCATCCGTTGGATTATGGCTGAACGCCTCTAAGTCAGAATCCGTGCTAGAACGCGACGATTACCGCCTTGTGCCATTTTTAGTTGAATACGAATAGATCCTCGGATCCTGAATCTTACGAACGTGGGATTATCTTGCAGAGCGGAAAGGCTTTGTGAGGTTCCTGCTAACAACGCGGAAATGCTTACAACCCTTGTAAATTAAATGTTTACAAGGGTGTATGAATGAACGTGTACAATGAGTAAAGATTCGATGAAAGGGGTCTTTTACATTAGTGTAAGGCGCACTCGACGAGTGAATAAACACACATAGGTAAGCATTTCATAAAATGAAGGTCGTACAACCCAGTAAGGCTCTGGTTTTTTTGGAATGTTTACAATGGTGTATCAATTAGCCCCAAATCCATTTTTTACATACATGTAGGAACATACAGAATCGCCTTTTCTTACCCCATTGTAAACAAAGCCCGATTCTGCCTCCTTTACAACTGAGTAAGGATTACAGCAGAATAGAGGAGGTTTCTATTTGCCGACAATTGGTCTAATCCTGGCTTGACCAGCGCTGCTGGATGCCTTAAGCGTCATTTGACTAGGCGACTCTTATCTGCGAACTGTCCATTTTTTTTTGCTTCTTTGATTTGACAGAAAGCAACAAAAGGTGTTTGACGCCTTGAGTGTCCATTTTACTGGTGAAATTGTTTTTGTCTTGAGGATGCTAGCCATCTTGACCTGACTTTTACATACTTTTTTACACTCATTTTTACACCCGTTCATACTTGAACCTGGCCAGAGTCGAGACACAAATTAGCCTCATCTTCCAGGCCTCTTCTGCACATGAACCGTCATTCGCTTTGTCTTCTTTTCAGATCTCGTCTCTTTCTTCATTCTCTCTTTATATTCAAACACAAGGAAACAAGGCCAAATCAACTGTTCCACCAAGCTCAGGATCCTATACAGTCCTTGTTTGCTCGTTTGTTTCTTTGTCAAATATGTCATACAGGGCAAATAAAATTAGCAAAATATAGTTTATTCTTCGAAGTATCTTATGCCTTGCCGTCCGTGTAATTCTGCACTCAAAGAGGAGGTGACTACAGGGAGAGGTGCCAAGGACCTGATTGTGCATCTAAAGGTAGAAGAGAATAAGAATTGGTGAGAGATGAATGGTAGAAGGGGAGGTTAAAGGAGGACAGAGGGAAGGTGAAGGGGAGTAGAGGGGAGCAGCTAGAGGGGGGTAGAGGGAAAGGGGGAAGGGCGGTAAGAGAAAGAAAAGAGTGAAGGAGAAAGGGAGACAAGGGATAACGTGCGTGGAGGGAATGGGGGGACGGATGGAGGGATAAAGAGGAAGAGGACAGTTGAGTGTCGTGAGGCGGTATAGTGAATATGAATAATGCCGATTACGACAACAGAGAAAAGGAAAATGGAACAGAAGGGTGGAAAAGTCCAATTCGGATTGCACCTCTTTTTAAAAGGGTGTAAGAATTCTCGACAGTTGAGCTGTGTACAATGAGTCGTGTTCTGATGACAGTCGTCCCTCTCTCCCCTTCCTCTCCGCTCCCTGTATCTCTCATTTCGTAAACTTGCATCCGTGCACACGGGTGCTTCGAAAAGATAGAAAACAGAGAAAGGCAAGCGATACTAATCACCTGCATGCTCTTTTCTTGCCCACACAATTATACATAAGAAAAACAATTAAGCAAAAACAACAGGGATGAGGTAGCAGGAATGAGTGGTTAAGTTAAGGAACAACCACCTCCACCATCAATCCAACAGAAAAACAAAAGATGGTGAGGGACAGAACGAGAGGAAGTCAAGGAGGGACGATGCAAGATTTCAAATAGACAACTTCCTCCAACTCGTGTTATAAAAAAAGAGAAAATTGGGCGAAAACATGTGCTTACGTCGCTCTTTTTTTTTTTTTTTTTTTTTTTTGTTTTCTTCCTTTACAAAGTGGTCAAAGCATAACGGCGCGAATGGGCCTCCATAACCTTATACTTTTCTTAGGCCTGGATCTTGATAGAAACAACAAGGTGTACGACCAAGGACGAATATCCCCAAATGAAAAGCTAGTGCGGGTGAGAGAGAGGGCGAAAGGCAAGCTCGTGAGAACTCAGAATACGAACCTTGCAGACTAAGAGACCTGGGACCAAAGGGTGTATGATGTGATGTATGCATGTACGAGCCTTGATGAGTATTTTTTTTTCTTTCAATTATGTTTGAGTGGAATCCTTTCCCCTGTTGCGGTACGGGGTTTTTATTTCTATTTTACCCCGTCTTTTTATGTAACGAAGAAGTACTGCTAGCGACCACATCACCACATGGCAGATGGTCGCTGCTCAACTACCACCTCCGTGATTGTTTATAATAATTATCATCTCCGTGATTATTTACCACCTCTGTGATTAGCTATCACCTCCGTGGTTAAATATCACTCCAGTGGTGTAAAACAATAAAACAACTCTTTTCTTCTCGTTGACTTAGACCCCATACTTTCCGCCCCTTATTTTCCTTGACTCTGGTCCAGCAATTGCATGGCCGATATGGGCGATACCAACCGGTATCGCCATATGTTTGCTCGCAATCACGTGCATAACACGCTCGGCCTCGGCCCTCGATGAAAAAGGAGATGGAAGTGTGTGCGTGTGTGTGTGTGTGTGTGTGTGCGTGTGTGTGTGTGAGAGAGAGAGGGCGAGACAGAGAGGACATGAATGACTGAGGGACTCGAAAGAGAAAAGGGTGTGAGAAGTATGGGGGTAGAATTAACGAGAAGAAAGAGTGTGTTTTCTTTATTTTGCACCACAAAGCAGATAATAAGCAGTATCGGCTGTGTGGCGTGATCGGTTGAGCGTTTCTTCGTTAAATAAAAAGGGATAAATAAAAATAAACCCGTACCACAACAGGTGCACATGTTTGCACAGGCCCTTCATTGATTTTCCTTCCACTTTCTTGACCACATCCTCTTTCCTTTATTCCCTCGCTTGCCTCTTTTTTTTTTCTTTGATTCTGGCGAAGCAACTGCTTGGCCGATATGAGTAATACCCAATTGGTATCGCCATCTATTTACTCACAACCACGTACATGGTACGCTCGCCCGCGCCGAAGCCAACAGGACCACATCAGAAGAAGCAGAATTGCGTTTATCCTTGCAATGCACACCCAACGAACCACAAAATAATCTCGTACAATAACGACATCTATATCTCTTTTTCTTTTTCTGTTTATTTTCATACTGTTCATAAGCAAACCAATTCCAACACTTCCATATCACAACAGCAGAAAAGTATTCTAAACACATTTCCACTCATAACTCCTTCGATGCCTACCGTTCTCTGCCCACACTTTGATCGAAGACTTTGCCGGGTCCCTCCGGAGGGACAAACCGAGGAGCATAACAAGAGATACCATGAGAAGATTGCGGTTCTCGTTCAACGACCCGGACTCCCCGATATCATGGTTGAACGCAGCGAGGAACACGATAATCATTATCCATGTCCGTCCACCCAATGCCAAGTAACCACCAATGTTCGTCAGAATGTGTTGAAGCACATTGCTGTCTGCCGTTTTGTACGTGCCGATGACACCGCTCGCTTCCGTTTACTCCGCCAACAACTAGGACGACAGCAGCGGGCGCGTCAGGCTCCCTACCCAGCGACAAGTGCCTCTTCAAGCGCAAGTTCAGGCCATCGAGCTCCCATGAATCCATTTCTACAGCCCGACATCGACATGGACGGCTCCAACGAGGAGCAAGTGCAAGGCATGGTTCGGTTCCAGAACACCGTTATGACCCTTCTTGGGTACAGTCAGATGGGGTCTGAGCGGCTCTATCAGATCGAGGACAGCATCGATAGTCTCAAGACCGACCTTTCGACATCGTTTAAACAACTAATGGATAATAACAAGGACCTTTCCGCCAAGCAAAACAAGATCTTTGACAACACTGTGAAACTGATGAACATGACTGAGGGACTGCTTAACAGGATCGAGAAGTTCACATTTGAGAGGCCTGGGTGGCAGACAGGTAAACACTTGATCTCTTTAGACATGTGGCTGTGTATTTTCTCAAGTTAACATAACTCTTCGTTTTTTTTTTCTTCTCAGATTCACAGGAAGGATTCAGCATGCCAGGAAGTTCTGTCGATGGACGCTTTGGGCTTGGTGTCGACCCGAGACGCTACATCCCGCATCTTGATGACCACGATCAAGTTATCTCAGAGTCCGAGTCCCCAGAGTATGAAAATAGCATGGAAAGAAACATGGCGCAGGCTCAAGTTATTGCACGCCACAATGAGGAATTCTCGCGTGGAATGGATGGAGAAGAGAATGAAATGAACACAGTAAAGGTGAAGAAGGACTCACACGACATGGAGGATGCAGCTGAGGAGATGGGGGAAGTGCATAAGGAGGAGGATGTGAAGGAGGAGGCGGAGGAGTGAGAGGAAGTGCGCAAAGGAGAGAGTGTAAAGGAGGAGAAGGCTATATGCAAACAACAAGAGTCGTCCTGAACAACGGCTCATCCCCACCATCATGCTTGTTATTTTTCTGATTACGTTTGACCATATAATACAATATAAACCCTCTTCTTGCAAAACCTTTTTGTGTGAACATATTGGAGACAATGTTTAAGGTCCACAATGCTAGCATAGAACGTCCTTGGTGTAGATAGCATCCGTATTGTCTCTCGAATCCTCCATCCCTCCTTCCTCGTCAAAGCAACAATTGCCTTCTTTTCCTCCTTTCTTTTTTCACTTTTCCCCTTCCCCCATCTCTTTTCTTACCCTCCCACCTTCTTTTCGCTCTTTCACTGACTAGGAGATGGTGCACTGAGGAGTTTCGTCTGTAGTCGTTTACTTCCAAATGCTTCTTTGTACTACTTTCTAGAGAAATAACTTAAAATCGCGTACTATCAAAAAAGAAAAAAACAAACCCTCCTTTCAAAGTCCTTGGCACCAACGCCTTTACACATTGCAGATGGTTCTCTTTCCCTGTGCCGTTGACCCATTCAGTATTCACTCTCGACCTATGCCAACCACTCTGATACCGAGAGTAAAACTCAGCTCGGTCAAAAGTACACTTATTGACACATAAACACAGTTGATCAACAGGCCTTACCCGTCTACAAGTGCGTGTTACGATTCTAAGATAGTCAAAAGGCACACATTCCGTACTTTTACTTGGGCTTGGGGGGGAGCCTGTCACAGAATACCACAAAGAAAAGATAGTGTCGTCCACAGTACAAACGTAGCAAACAATGTACAAGAACAATGACGACGACTGCTCGACATGCCCCCTCCGCTTCCTCTTGATATCCATTTCTCCTGCGGCAAACCCTTGACAAATACAAAATAGACTCCAAATAAGAATAAGAACCACCCATCCCTTAACTACGATCGGCAACGGTGTCTTATTTTTTTTATAATCACACAAAGCAGCACATATGAAACCGTCGAAAGAAGAGTTTCCCTAACCATACTAATATCGGGTGGGCGCGCAGCTACGAGAATAAAGGGCCCGCAAAGAAAGCGTGGTCCACAAACCAGTTACTTTTCGCCTAAATTCCCTACGCTTCTTCATTTCTTCCCTTCTCCCGCTGCCAAAACACGACCGTAGACACATCCTTTACCCATCTGTTAACACCCGCAGCACGATACACATCCCTGATTTGCTCCCTTCTTCAACCCACTCAAACATTTCCTTCTTTCGCCATCTTACAACCTCAATTTAGACCATGTCAAAGTCTTGTATTTGAATAAATAACAAAATCATATAATATCATATGTCTTTAATTGAGTATTCTTCTGGCTTCATTCTCTTGCTTCATCCTTCTCCATTTTTTCGCCTCCTCCTCAACCCTTTCTCTTCCTTCACATTCACCATTACTGGTCAGGGGCATCCATACTCCTGCTTCTCTGCCTTCTTGAACCTCGCCCCTCGCCGGACTTTGACTTTGGCCCTCTCTGCATCTTCTTTGGCAAGTCTACCTCCTCAACATCACCGCCGTCGCTGCCATCATCGTCTCCCGTTCTTGTTCGTTTGACAGCAGCGCGAACACCATTTCCATTGGCTGTTGTAGAACTGGTCGCCTTGGTCGCTTTGGTCGCCTTGGTCGCTTTGGTCGCTTTGGTCGCCTTGGTCGCTTTGGTCGCTTTGGTCGCTTGGCTTGCTGCACCAGTGATAATAGTCTTGCTTGCTTTCTTGATGGCCTTGGACTTCCAACCGTGCGGAAGGCTGACTCCACGTGGACGACCTTCTCCTTTCCGGTCACTTTCGGTTCCATCGACTATACTGTCTAGATCCAATCCCTTGCTCAAATCTGCGCCTACGGTTCCAGGCTCTTGTGACTGTTGAACTAGAAGGCGAGCACCCTCTTCAAGAGCTTGCATCGTCTCCGCGATCCCGTCCAGCTTAATGGTGTTTTTGACGAGACTTTTGGCGGAGATAAGGATCCTGTTCCCTGGGACTTTGGGTTGTGTTGAATGAAGAGCAATAGGTGGAGGTCGAAGGATAGAGTTAGGGTCGTCCATAAAGGTGTCGATGGATAGATCCGTGCCGACCGGGTCTTTGCTGGCACCCTCGTTGACTGTTACCGTCTGTGCACGGAGGAAAGGTTTGACGGAGAGTTGTTGCTTGAGGTTCGGATCAAATTGTTTTCCCTCTTTGTACCAGCGTGGCAGAATCATGCAAGGGTGAAAAAGGAATCGTGCATCCTCCATCATCAAACAAAAGAAATGTCTACAAACAATGCCCTTATTCTGTTGCAAAGCGCAGGTACAGAAGTAGGTGCGGTTTGTTCGTAAGATCACATACTCTGGGCGCGTGCCTTTTCCTGTGTCAGCCATAGAAGAGACACGGAAAACCCCTTCCGATGTGTGCCTGGGGATGGACGTGAGCAAAGCATGAACCGAGCCACGCTGAAGTTGTTCAGCGCGGGATAGTTTTGACTGGAGGGAGTGTTTGGAATAAACCAGCGATTAGTGCATTTTCCTTTGTGTTACATAAACCAAGGAAAAAATGCTTGAAAAAGTAGCAAAGAGGATAAAATTAAGGCAAAGATGATAAAAATAAGGCAAAGGATCATTACAAAACTCACCAAGCAAAATTCACCATCCTGGACATAAGGAACCGCTCCGAAATTAACGACTGTGAACTTGAGGCCAAAGGAGTAATCCATCTCGGTTCGCAGCTGACCTTGGGCCCACTGGCTGAGGAATACCTTGCTGGCATCGAGGACTTGACCAAAGATATCGTAAGTCGTATCGCTGACGCCCAAGCGTCTCACCGGTCTGGCGTCATTCGGATCATTCGACAAAATGGTGAAGAGATCGATCTCATCTTCAATCTTGTTCATGATCGCTTTGAACAGATCCGATAGGGAAGTCTTGCTGTTATGCAGAAACATCTTGAGGACATCGTGGTTCTTTTCGACGCGCTGCGTGGAGCGCATCCCTGCGGTGAAAGAGGCTTGCACCCATGGTCCTGCCCAGAAATGACGACGGTTGTAAAGCCTTGCAAGATGTACTCCAACTTCGCCAGACTCGAGAGTATCACGCTCCTGTACGGACAAGATGGGGTCAGCAGCGATGTGGGAAGTGGCGACGTTTACTGGAGTGGAAAGGTTGGGTGGAGTGGAGAGGCTGGGTAGAGCGTTGAGGTTGTTGTTGCTGTCGTTTTCGTTGACGATGGTAGTGGCGATGGTGGCAGTATCAAAGCTAGGAGTAATAGTAGAGGTGATAGAGATGCCAAAGCCGTCTCCTCCAAAGTTTTGAAGGATGCGAGCCCAGATGCGTTCAAACTCGCCGGCTGTTAAGGCACAACAGGCGGCTTTGAACATACTGAAAAAGTGATTGTATCTCTCTTTCAATCTGCAAGACAAATGCTTCCTCAGATTTTCCTGGATATGCCATATGCAATTAATCACATGGACACCCTGAAACACCAAAGGAAGCGTTCTATCCATTGCCGCATCTTGATCAACCATCATAACCTTTGGCAGTAGTCCTTCGGTTGCCTCTTGAAGCTTGGAGAGAACCCATTTGTAGTCGTCTTTTGTCTCATGACGAGATAGAGCGGTCGCAACGAGTCGTGTCTTGAATTCACAATCGACGACCACAAAGTTGTGCAGCGGGAGGCCAAGGCGATTGGTGCGATAAGTATTGTCATGCACTAGCACATCACCATAGCGACGGAAAAGATCCCTCTGTCCTGGGGTCATCCAAAAGACCCGGACAAGCTGGTTCTTGTCATCAACATCGGTGGCAATATACCATCCCTTCTCCTGATTTGCCCTCATACATAAAGCGATTAGGAGCTGGACCGTCTGAGGAATCTGGATTGCATGGAGTAAAGTCCTAAACTCCTTTAGACGGTTGAGGACCTTTTTTTTTTTTTTTTTGTATAGAGATAAAATGTGTATGAGAAAATTGATTTAAGTCAAAATGTAAAGTTGTCGCTCAAACCGTAACTGTCCACAACGATACCTGATATTTGCAGAACTTTGCATCCCGAAATTCGATACGCAAAATGTCCAGTGTTTGCTTGTATGACAGTCGAATTTGGGCACATTTCCCAATAGACGCGATCATAGGGGCCGTCAAGGGGTTGGTTCGGCCGAGATTAAAATCGAACTGGTGCTCACAGTGATCGAGGTTGAAGGAGGTGATGTGGTACTGAGGAGCAATGGACAGAGGGGAAGATATGCTGATCGCGTATGGGCAACCACAACGTGGACTCTCACGCTTGTTGTGCTGTCGATCCTCGTCGGCAACTTTCTTGGATTTATAGAACCCAAAGAAGCTGCAAACGTACTTGACTATTTAGTGGTGAGGAAAGAGGATAAGGAAGTAGAAAAAATGATATTAGAAATGAAAAAGGACGATTAGGTTTGCGATTTCGATTTCTTGCTCAACTCTATCTCACACTTGACATAACATGTACAAACCAATATTGCTTACCGGCATTGCCAGTCGAGGTGCGAATTATAAGCTTGTGCCCCTTTTTCAGTGCCCAAGACCTCAAAAATACGTCCGCAGCCGACCTTGATCCAAAACAATGGTGAACGGTGGGCTCCCAGCCCACCAGCAGTTCGCTAGCAACATCGCCAACCTTGACCGGAACTTGAACCGACCCATCCTCTTCATATCCGCACTCGTCCTCGTCGATCTCATCCATGCTCTCATCCTCCCTCATACGCTCCCGAGCGGAAAATACAGGTGTTGAGGATGTGTTGTAAAGAACGGCACTGACAGCTGCTGTGTGATTGTAAGACGAAGTGATGTTTTTGTTTTGATTACTGGAAAGAGTAGTTGGTGAGGTATTGGTGTTATTGTTGGAATGAGAAGGAGTGTCGCGCTTCAACATGTCGAGATCATTTCCTTCCAGCTTTTTCTGCCGTGACTCTCTCAGAGCCTCAAGATGTATCGTATTCTTATTGAACGAC